ACTCTCTGAGAGTTTTTTTATGAGGATAAAGAAAATTCCATCATCACCTGGAGCTTTTATATTATGAAACTTTTTAGTTATAGATCTTACTTCGTCCAAATCAGTTCCCCAGGTATCTTCAAAAATAATTTCCCTAGAGAAAACATTCACATAATCACGAGCAATCTGATTCTCAATAGGACTAGTAAGATCCAAACTGAAATTATGGGAACTCTCGAATTGCTTGGCAAGTTTCTGGTTAGCTTTTTCTAAGTTTGGAACTCGGGTCTAATTTAGAAACATTATTTTCAAAAGTTTTGTTCCTCAAGGCAGAGAATAGCTTTTTAATTTGTTTTGCAAATCCCGCCAGATAACTTTCATGGCAGGATCGAGTGTTCTTTGATATTGTCTCCTACGGACATTTTTAAGACGGATCAAAAGCTGAAGATCATCGTCTATTATCATTGAATCGAATTTAACCTCGCATTTTGGTACTGAGGCAGCTCTTGCTTCAACTATAGAAGTAGTCAGAGATTCAAGAGCATAATTAATTTCATCTTTGGTTTGCAAAGGAATGTTTGGATCGAAGTTATATTCCATAAATGTTCGATATTGCTCGCAATCAGCTCTATGGTAATTGAAAGTAGAGCTGTTGGGATTACAAATTATTTTTTGAGAAATTTCAAAAGTCACTGGAAGGTGATCAGAATCGAAGTCAGCATGGCAATTGGCAATTGGCTACAAATTTGACATGAATCAGTTACGACCAAATCAATAGTTGAGGGATTTCTTGCTGAAGAAAAGCATGTTGGCCTGTTTGAATATTCAATAGTGTAATAACCTGTTTTGCGGTGTTTTGCATTAAAATCACCAATAATGAAGAATTTAGACCTATGACGGGTAATTTTCTGCAGGTCACCCTTGAGAAAATTCTTTTGCTGGCCTACGCATTGGAATGGCAAATAGGCAGCTATAAAAATAAGTTCTCCACATTTTATTTCAACAGAAACTTCCAAAGTTTCAAAATCTTTGGTTTCAAATGAAGAAAGAATTTTATGTTTAATTCGTCTATGAACAATGATGGCAACGCCACAACAGGCTCCATCAAGACGATCATTTCTATAAATGAAATAATTTGCGTCCCTTTTAACCTTATGGTCAGGTTTAAGGAACGTTTCAGTTATGACGGCAATATGCACGTTATGAACTCTTAAAAAGTTAAATAGCTCATCTTCATTATCTCCAATTTAAAATATTTAATGATTTAAAATCCATTACTGAATTTCAAAGTCATGACAATATTGTTCGCAAATTTTACTCCAGTTTGAATAGCATCAAACATGGAGTTAGATTTAAGCATATCAGAAATCATGTCAATTAATGATTTCTGCAAAAAATCTATTATAGGAGCAGTAATGCTTCCTAAGTCAAAATTTTAAAAATTTCCGCTAGAATAACGTTGGCTAGTATTTTGATTTCTACTCTCTGCAATAGCAGCATAGGTAGCTCCATTAACTCGCTGAACATTGTTAGCAGCGAGGGGAGTAGGTACAGATGAAACATTTGAAGCAGGGGTGATATTTGTACCTACGGGTACGAATGTAGAATTTGTTCCTCGCTGACCGTTGTTAACAGCAGAGGAATTTGTACCTGGTCGGAAACTTAGAGCGTTACCTACCCGGCCCTTCGAACGAGATTGTAGGATCGCTTTGCGAGTCTTACATTCCCAAATATTGGATTTGTGGTTTTCACCACAATTTGAACATTTAAATTTCTTAGGATCTTCCTTCACAGAAAAGTCGTCGTTTGCGTGAGAGAAATCACCACAATTCATGCATTTAGCTGGCATGTAGCAATTTTTAGTTCCGTGACCCCATCCCTGGCACTTACGGCACTGAGTGAGGTTTTGGAAATTTCCTCCAGTCTTCCTGAAGTGTTCCCACTTCACTCAGACATGGAGCATAAGGGTAGCTTTTTCTAAGGCCTTAAGGTTGTTTAGTTCACTATACTTGAAGTGAACGAAATAAAAATTATTAGAAATCCCGTTGCGCGAATCGCCAGGACGGGATTTCATTTTCATTTTGATTACTTGGAGTGACACAACTCCAAGTAATTTTGCCAGTTCATCTTTGATCTGATCCAGGGATTCACCACTGGGCAGCCCTTTCATGACAACCTTGAACACACGTTCTGTTTTGGTGTCGTAAGTAAAAAAAAATGTGCTGCTTCTCAGTAAGATACTTGAGAAGACATTTAAATCCGTCCAAGGTTTCAGCCAATACACGGCATTCACCCCAACGTTCAATTTGTAGAGAAAACTTAACTTTCATGAAGTTCAAAAGTTCCATGCGAAGAGCGTGATTATCACAATAGGGGGAATCTTTTCCTTCTTGGCATTAAGCTGGGAAAGTTTAATAGATTTTTTCCTGGATGATGAATCATTCTCATTATTATTATTTATTATTATTATCTCTATTTAGGAGATTTTCAGCCGCAGGCTGGTTCATCTCCGGAAAGGATCATTCTCATCATGCGTGAGCAAATCAAATTGATTGCTCAAATTAATTTCATCAGAAGGGGGATCAAAAGTTTGCCCTTTTCTTTTGCACTTAGGCGCCATGGCGGCAGTAAATTTTTATCCAAATCAACTTCCAAGCAGATTACTATCAGAATCTGAAGGATCGAAAAGGAATTTTCCAAATCGATATCCAAGAAGGATTACCTCGGGTAGGGTCCAAATAAGGATAGAAGAGGAATGAGAGTTGAACAAGGTAGGAATTGTACAGGCTGAGCACTGAAAAGTGCTGTTTAAATTTGTTGTAGCTTTAGGTAGTAGTAACACTTCCTTCAGCAAAAAGCAAATAGATCCGCACGGCAAGAGAGCACGATGCGGACTGAAATAAAACCATGATTTCGGTGTTAACAAGCCAATTATGCAATTGGTACGATACTTCTGTTAAAAATCTGAACCCGAACGAAGTCAATAAGAACGTGTGAAGCACCCAATATTCTCATAAACATACGAGGCGCTCGGACCGAATCAATTTTTATCTTCATCCAATAGGCCGAAGTGAATTCACTTGCGTGACAATGGCGTTTCAATGCGTTAGGCCGAGTTTAGAATCCGTAGGCCGAGTTTGGGGTCAAGAAGCTTTATCAAATCTCACGATACGTACGTAGAGTTAAATAAATTTGGAAGGCAACTGTAGTGAGAAAATTCCATTTTGTCAAAACATCCGTTCGAAAAATAGAGGAAAAGGGCGGGTTGTGCTTCGTGGGCCCAAAATAAGATCTAAGCCCTATATCATAAGCCTTGAATTCAAACAGAATTTGTTTGTGATCAGATAAATAACTTTCGTTTGATACATGCCAATTTATTAATCGATTAGAATGTATTGAACTACAAAGAATAAGCTCCAAAACAAATTTTTCTTATCACATTCCCAAATGTCGGGGAATTCCCCTTGTTACATATATCAACATTATGCTGTGAAATGAAATCAAATAAAGACTCACCTCAATACCATATTTAGGTTGCCAGTTATGCTAATATCCCTGAATTTGGTATTCATAAGTTATTTTCTCCTGCTGTGTGTTTTTGTTCGTATGTACTGTAAATTCTAAGCAAGCACCCAGTGAAATGATACTTCAGCATTGTTCTCAACCAATTTGTGATAGGGGAATTTACGTATTCTCGGCAACCTAAGCAGCGACGTTCTTTCTATAGCCTTTTTCTCTAAGGAACGCACACATATGCAGTATTGGTTTGTTTACAATCTTTTGCTGCCAGCTGCTCTAACAATTTCAGTCGAAAGAATTGTCAAAAACTGTTTTGAAACGCTTTTACAAAGCCCCAATCTTCTCTAGTGAGAGCGAGTATTGTCGGCAACCAGTTTTTCTTCGGCAACCGTTCCATTTAAACTGCATGTAAATCTGCTGTTCTATTTTCGGCAACTCGAAATCAGCTACAATTTGTAGTGCGTGTGTTGCATTTCAAGAAAACCTTGCTAGATTGCTTTTTCTCAGTGGTAAAAATATATTCAAATTGAAGCTGAAAGCATAAAGAATCGTTTGTCTGCATTCAGCGAAGTGTTTTCGTAAGAAAATCCAGTGAAAATAGTGTTTCAATTTGGGTTGCCGGAAATAGTCTGTCATGCCGAAGCCTTCATTTCCCCTACATAAAAAATAATTTCCTGCGATTCTGTTTAAGTCTGTATGATATGACAAGTATTGTAATGACTGCAGGGGAGCTGATTTTCTGCAACAGTAATACCCAGATTTGGTGGATGTGCATCTTATGCTGCAAAATTATGAACAATATTCGGAAAACTGATATTATGCGTAATGAACGGGCACAATTTGATAGCGAGCCTGAAGCGAGCCCCAATTATCTACAAAAAATACTAATCTCCGGATCTGGCATTTCAACAGTCGATTTTTAGGTTTTCATGTGGCAAAAACAAAACACAACAAAACTACGAGAAAAGGAGGAAAGGTCGGATGAATTGAAAATGTTCTCTCCTGCACAATTTAAATTAGTATCCTTACCCTTGGGGTTTATGCAAAGGATTTCTGCTACAGCCACGGAAGACATAAAGGATACAGTTGCCATTCGAAAGAGGGAATTCGTGTATGAGATAAACTTTTTAGTTAGCTAACTTAGCTTCGTTATTGCGGGGTCAAAAAAATCCCTACACAAATGAAAGGCCCTTGAGGGAACATTCAAAACGATTTTCCAGGTTAAATTGTTGGTCCGGGTTGGGGAAATCATCCTCTCAAAATAGGTCACCTAGAAAAACAGATCTGCATGAATGGAACATCCGGATGCTAGTAGAAGAGGAATATTTCTCTGTTATGAATATTTGAAGAATTTTAAAATATTAAACATCCTTTCGCTAGGGCGCCATAAACAGAAGCAGTAATTATAACGTTACAGTGTACACAACAAAGGATACTCATTTTAGCGGCGTTTTTTCTCTGTCCATGGTGAATCATCATCTTTTTTTTTATTTATTTTACAGGTCAACGGTGAATACATCACAGCATGCCCACACGATGATGCGGTGAACATCCTCCGGAACGCTGGTGACATCGTAGTCCTAACAGTCAAACATTACCGAGCGGCAACGCCATTCCTGCAGAAGCAACGTGAGTATACCCAATTCAAAACGTGAAAAATGTCGACGAATCAAGCTTTTTTGCTTATTAGCAAAATTCCTCGAAGAAAGCTTGAGTTTAATCCTCAAGAAAGCAGTACAAAAAAGGGATTAACAAAAACTGTCATCCCATATCGACCACATCTGAGCCGAGCAACAACATTCCAGCAAATCCCCAAATTCCCCAATCCATCTTGTCATCCTACAGATGACAACCATTCTGCCAACCACAGGCCTGAACCAGATGCCGTATTTCCATTCCACAGGATTTATTTTATGACACGTTTCCATTTTTCTTGTTTCATTTTCCGCAATTCTTTTGACATCGTGCACCACCACCTGCCTGTTGTGACCATTGTGTATGGTTTCCTGCGACCTGTTCTGGTTTTCAACTTCATCAACATCAACGCGGTTCGGTTCCGGATAATTTCATCATTGTTGTTTGCATTGTATCCCCTACCCGGGCTTGGGGGTCTATCATCATCATCATCATCGTCACCGGTGACAACGATCGACGTGGAAACTCGCGGACCACAGTGAGTAGAGAGACTCCCGAGTCGGACAACGATGCAACATGCGCCGAGCTGAAGGCGGACGAGGTTTGGAAATCGGCAAACAACAGCAGACCAGTTTCCATCAGCTCCGAGCCGGAAAATCGATGGATTGATTTAGTGTCGGGTGAGTGGAGAAATGTTTCATTTTTGAGGTTTTGCTGTTCTCTATCGGGCTTCCTGCTGCAAGCCCTCGGTTCACCGGAACTGGTCCAAAAGCATAATCTATCTCGGCTGGGAAAAGTGCAGGGTTCAAACTGTAATACCGTGTTTCTAAATTGTATAATGCCCAACAAACAATTCAGAGCAGAAAATAAGCATATCTATCGAATAAATGCCCACATGTGTGCTGAAGAAACCCGAGCAGGAACGAATATCTCGATACCTTAAATTGGTATGGATGAGCCTGTCATAAGAGGTAAACTACCAAAAAATAATATCAAAATAATGTTCCCACGATACCATTCCAATACCAAATTATGTTAATGCAATACCAAAACTATACAACAATGGAATTTTTTGGTATTTTACCTCTTATGTCATGCTGATCAACACCAAATTTTGGTATCGGATCAGAATTATGTATTCATTAGTTATCTTCTCCTGCTTGGGAAGCTTATGTTCATTGCTGTTATCTGAATAATTTGCTTATTAAATGTTATTATGTTGTCGATCTGACTGGCTCGATATTTGAAGTTTGATCTAAATTATAAATCGAATAGATATGTGCAACTTGGCACCAAAATCAGTTAACTACTTAACTTATTAGATGTCTAAATAATGGTTGCTAGCTCCGTTATTTGATTGCATTGTTCCAAAACAATATGCTGATTATCGATATTTATAGTCAACTTATATGCTCATATATCACTTTGCAGTAGCGTAGCAAATAGGGGGGATCAAACGGTAGTGACGTAGTAAATAAGAAAATCTCCCAGAGCCTTGAAAAAAAAAGTATAAAAATGTCTTTTAAAATGTGATTTAACTTTTGCACTATTGTACACAGTCAACACTGTGTTACTCTATCTTTCAATAACTCGATGGAAATCCACACGGTAAATTAATCAGACTCATATTTGAATCCCGTTAAAACGTCGCAAAGACGTAGTAAATCTTTACTCAAATATGACTAAATATCACTCAAATATGAGCGAAATTGACTCATATTTAAGAAGAGCTTGGAGTGGGTTGGTTTATTTCCTTTAAATTTTGTTATTATTGCTTATTGACAAATCTTAAACGAGTAACTGAGGGTTTAAAACGGGTAGCGGTGAATTTCGACAAAAACATTACTAAACCATTGATTTCGAAGTTTAGAAGTTTTGGCCTCAATCAACATTGCTTAATAGAGATCAAGGAAACGTATACTCGAGACTCTTCAGCATGCTACCTAAAACCACACATCGTAGCATGCATACCTGTTTGAGACTGAATATAGGTACCTCGTTAGGTAAATTGTGACATGGCAGTGGATACCTGCTGATTTTTAGTACCTATTGATTAGTATATAACTCGTATATAAAATATGGATTCTTCAGTGGTGTTGAGTACTTGGCACTGATGAAGTCTGCAAGTAGTAGACGAAATACGTGCATCTGGCAAAAGATAAGCAATTATAACGGAATTTAAAGGAAATAAACCAACCCATTCAAAGCTCTTCATAAAGGTATTCCGTTAAGAGGTTCGACAAATTTAAAGGATTCATATTTAAGTAAAAATTTACTTATTATATGAATGACCTACGTTTTAGCGAATTTGACTCAACTCAATTTGAGGGACTCAAATACGAGTCGGATTGATTTGCCGTGCAGTCTAAGTCGACCACTTTTCCCATACAAATTTCCTGAATTTATCTCCGTAACTCGATGCTTCCTTCAATATCGGGAAAGTTGACTATGCAATTTGGAAGCTCCTTTTGGCTTACCCCAGCTACCTAATGACTTGCCCAGAATGTGTCTTCTAAGTTTCCTTAACCTTGCTTTGAAAGTTTGCTCCGACTTGCACCGAAAGAAATTTGACCGGGGGCTTTTCCTGAATTATCTGGAAGCTTTTTTGAACTTCTTAAAACGTTGCCATCGGTATCCAGGCATGTAATCAAAATCATTTACATTCATTTCATGTTAGGGGGAATGGCTCTAATATTTGCCTATGGATCTAAGGCTGGCATCTTATCTAGATGAACAAGTCATTAGGACGGTTCTAATGGATATTTTTTTATTGCTATTGAAAATTTAGTCTATTGCTGAATTTATGTATGGGCGCAAATTAGCGGCATTTAGGCCGACATTGCATACATTTAATGCTTTACTTTTCAGCTCCTTTACAATCCGAATTTAATTTTTGTTGCTGTGACTTTGTACCTGTCCGTCCTTGATTATGTGCGATGTGATAGTCCTGACCGTATTTTGTGATGATGTTGGTAGTGTCTTGGTAATCGCTGTCTCCACTTCAATGATGATCTGCTCCACGTCTGGCTTGGTTGCAATCGCATAGCCCCTTGTTGAGGTGTGTCAATTGTTCTTCCGTGAATGCGGTCGTCGATCGGTTGACAACCAACCCATCGTCCGTCTCTGTTAAGACTCGTATCGCAGATTTACCTTCCTATCATGAAACTTCCGTTTCCTATCCAATTCGCACTCCTCTGCCAGCTTGGCCCTAGACAGAATATCCTGGAATTGAATTGGATACTCTTTGGTCAATTTGAGATATAGAGAATAACATTCCAAAGTATTCATGACCGGAAGATATCCGGAATCACCGGAAAAAAGTGTCAATTCATGAATGTAGACCTAGAGATTCGTGATTATTCTAAATTGCATACAATCATAAGCATAGAGGAAATATGTCATCACTATATCGATTCTGCTACCGGGTGTGTGTGTGTATGTGTGTGTATTCAATCTAACCCCCACTGGCCGGCAGTGGTATTATGGAAGAAATTTGCTTACTACAATCCTTGATGTAATAATTTAAAGCAAGTTTAGTCCGGGAGTTAGAATGCGATAGCTCTACTGCAGATTCAGCAACCCATTTCAGAATGCCTGGTAATTCACGTCCATTCCGAGGTTACTTTCACATACAATAAGCCTCGCATGTAAAAACTACCGTTATCATATGAATAATGGTACTGCAAACACACTTCCAGATTTCGAAATATGATGTTTCGAAATCTGGCGCGTATTTAGTAATATATGGAAATATGCATTTATGATTGATTATAAATCAGATGGATTTGACCAAATTCTGCCTCCAAAAAAGGACCGGTTTGTTCACTCGCGGTAATCGAAAAAATCTTCCGCGTTGTTTTTACAACCCAACACGACATTTTGAATCACATTCGAAGTTTTTCATTTGCACCGAATTTTTGCTTGACACCTCATTCGCGTGCATCCTCCGGAAGGCAGAACGCCAGCACCAAGAAAAGAAAAAAAACCCGGTAAAACTCTTCTTGGGAGGGAGGCAAAGCACCATAAACAAGCGAAATGAAAAACCGACCGACGCGACACCACAGCAACACAGCTACTCGAAACAAATTCTTGTCCCAGATTTTTCACGTTAATTACAATATCACTAAAAAAAACTTTTTAAAACGTGATAGATCTTTATTTACACTTATCCACTCGCGAAAACTAATATTTGTTTGATTTGGTACAATTAAAAAATATGCGAAAAACAGATCAAATCAGCGCCAGCGAAAACAAAACCAACCGTTCGCGGGCAGAGCCTACTGCGTTTTTTTCGGGAGCAATAATTACGATAACAGTAATCATAAATTCCGAAATTTTCCATAAACTGCAACCGGTCTCAACCGCCGGCCATCGCTGAATACTTTGAAAACTAATTGACCGTCTTTGAACCGAGAGCGTAACACCATGAATCATATCGATTCTGCTACCGGGTGGCCCGAAAACGATCCTCTGGATATCCGGAATCACCGAAAAAATGGTCAATTCCTGAATGTAGACCTAGAGATCCGTGATTTTTTTTCTAAATGGCAAGCAATCATGAGCTTAGAGGAAATATGCCATCTTCAGATTTATTCTGCTACCGGGTGACCAGAAAACGATCCTCTAGATATCCGGAGTCATATATGTCAACACCATATCGATTCTGCTTTCGAGCGACTAGACAACGCCCTTTCGGATATTCAGATTCACCGGGAAATGTATGTGGTCTTAAAGATCCAAGATTTTTTTTTACTGTAACCAATCTTTAGCATAGAGAAAGGATGCCATAAAAAAGTTAGATGAAATTATAATGAATGAAAAAATTGAAAAACATTAGAAATGGCTCTAATGTTCGCATATGGATCTAACATTGGGCTCATCGCTAAAAATCTGCTATTTATCAATTGTATCTAGATGAACGTGTCATTGGGACGGTACTAATAGATATTTTTGGTTGCTATTTAAAATTTAAGTCGATTGCTGAATTTATGTATGGGCCCAAATTAGGGACACTTAGGCCGACATTACATACATTTCCCCTACATCAATTTAATGTAACCTCAATACAATGTAATTCGAAACTATTTCTGAGGTCGTAAAAATGTGTCATTGCTTTATGTTAATTGATGATTTTGTCAAGCTTCTGCATTCATGTTCCATCAGATGTCACAGCTGTTGTTTGCGGTGATATCTATCGGAAACTATACACAATCTGTTTTCCTACAATTGTTCACAGAGGACACTGCAGTGCAAAACATGTCTGGTACCTCTATATATGCATTTAGATTAATATTCGAAGCCCCTCCTTTTTTACATATTCTGCACACAAAATAGCTGTATGGGGCGGGGCATAAAGTATCTTTTGCGCAGAATATATAAAAAGGAGAGACTTCAAATGTTAAAGCAAATGCATATATAGAGGTACCAGACATGTTTTGTAGTGTCAGGTACTCTATTTTGTAATCTGTGAAAGGGAAATTACAAATCGAGTGTCCACAAAATACATGGCATGTTGAGAGATTGAGCTCGTGAGAGAGAATTTCTCTCTCAAATTTGAATTTTTTTGGCTCTCTGGGGGCTGGTAGTAAAGCAGGTAAAATTGTATGGGGAAAAATCATTTTTATTTAATAGTAGCTTGTTTAGCATTAATTTCCGGGAAAAAACTGAACGACAAAGTCCCTGACTAATTTCTTTAGGTTGTCGTTCACTTTGTTTGACCGGAATATGCACCGAAAGTGAATTATTCCCACTTCTCTCAATTTCTATATGGGGATTTTTATCATTTCCTACCAGCGGAACAGCGCCATCTCTG